TAGGAAGTTTTATGCCTACAACTATGATTACAATCCCAACAAGTTTAGAGCTGCAAGGAAAATTCCCTGCAACTTCAAACTTGATGTAGGGACACACACCATTAACTACTCTGGACCCAAACTTAATTGGGTACCAAAATCTTCCTCCTCCTAATACAGGAAGCCGCTAAGTACCCAGGTGTCTGGTACTTAGACAGTGGCTGTTCAAGACACATGACGGGTGATGCGAGCCTTTTGAGCAATCTAATTCCCTATGATGGTCCAAGAGTTACTTTTGGAGGAAGCAATGATTTTGGTCTTACCAAAGGGCTAGGAAATCTGGTGTACAAGGGACTAACCATCCAAGCTGTTTCTTATGTAGAAGGTCTCAATTATAACCTTCTTAGCATAAGTCAGTTTTGTGATAAAGGTTATTCCTTGGAATTCTGCAAGGACATGGCATCTCTCAAGAACATCTCCACAAATGAAGTCATTCTCACTGGGAAGAGAATCAGAAATATCTATGAAGTAATGTGGGATAATGTCAAGGAAGCATGTCTAATCAGCAAAGGTGACGTTGACCTTCTATGGCTTTGGCATAAGAGGTTGAGTCATCTCAACTTCAAAACCCTCAACAAGCTGTCCAAAGAAGGGTTAGTAGAAGGTCTTCCCAAAGCTGTATTCAAGAAGGAAAGCATTTGTGATGCTTGCCAAAAAGGAAAGCAGGTCAAGTCCACCTTCAAAGCAAAATCGGCACCCTCAACTACAAGGATATTAAGTCTTATTCACATGGACTTATTTGGCCCTGTTACACCAATAAGTCTAAGTAGAAAGAAATATGTCCTGGTGGTAGTTGATGATTACTCAAGATACACGTGGACAATCTTCCTCAACGGCAAGAAGGAGACTCAAGGGAAACTCACCAACTGCATGAAGCTGATTCAAAACCAAGCAAGTCAGACCATTCAGAAGATCAGATCTGACAAAGGAACAGAATTCCTGAATGAAATCATCATTCACTACTGTGAAGAAAACGGAATTCTTCATCAGACATCTGCAGCAAGGACACCTCAACAAAATGGTGTAGCTGAAAGAAGGAACAGAACCTTGAAGGAAGCAGTGAGAACCATGCTAGCAGAAGCTTCCTTACCAAAGAGGTTCTGGGCTGAAGCTGTCAACACAGCCTGCTATACTCAAAATAGGAGTATGATCTATAAAAGGCACAACAAAACTCCCTATGAACTATGGAACGGGAGAAAGCCTAATATATCATATTTCCATATTTTTGGGAGCAAGTGCTTTGTGTTAAACAACGGGAAGAATCATCTGAACACTTTTGATGA